GGACTCGCGTTTCGCTAGCTGAAACGTCGTCGTCGTCGACGTCTCGGGCCTTATACTTGAATGCGAGACGGCAGATTAGAGGCTTCTACGGGAGAACGAGAAGTGGGACTGGAGCGGGAAACGAGGAAGCGCAGCGGGCTTTATCGGACGATAAAGGGCAGCTGGGCGAAGAGAGGGTCAAAGGAAGCGTTTCCGTAGCGAGAAGGGCCCGTTCTTCTCACAGAGAGTGAAGCTGGAGGAGAAGAAGGAGGAGGTCGATACCTAGTCTAGTCACCGGATAGGCAATCAGATAGGTCAGAACGGGATAGGCCAGGATGCCAGCGCCGGCGGATACGAGCCGGTTCGCGTGGATAAAAGGGGTTGCATGCCGCGAGCGAGGAAGAAGGAAGGGTGGCGACGGCGAAGAGGGTGCGCGCGAGCGGGGGCGGTGGAGGCCGCACGATCGCCGCTCTGGCGGATATTACCGGAACTACGAATTACCCCGTCGCCGGGGGGTACCATCCTGGCGGGGTGCACTTCTTCGGAAGCGCGAATAGAACGTTACGACGCCGATGTCTCTCCCGGAACGACACGAGAAATTCCGGGGGTGAATTCGTCGCGTCGATAAGGAAGGCCACCCTCTCTCGGCCACGGATAGAGTTCAGGGGAGGTACAGCAGCGTATATTGGAAAGCCACGCACCCTCGCATCGTGCGCTACTTCCTCCGTTCTGTTGATTTTAACGTTGTATCTTCTGTTTCCAAGATGATGAAGAACGGAAATCAATGACTGAACGTCACAGCGAGGTAAGAGACAAATCTCATTTCATAAAACTCCGTAAAAATCTCGGAACCGGATATAGAAGATAACTCTGAGAAATTAAATATAGAAAATAACTGAAAAATATATTAATGGTTTCATCTGCACTTCTTCTAGTTTTTTATCTATTTATAATGCTAAAAGCAATGGAAAAATATTTGTTAGGGGGGCAAATTATATGAATAATTTATTTCTTTCGTTTTATCTAATATAAGTTTTGCAATTTTGTGAGATTATACGTGCAGCTCATGCATCGAAGAACTTTGAGGTTTCTTGGGCTTTGGGAATCCTGGTATTATGTTTACACTACGTGGTACTTTGCGATTTTTGCAGCAACGAACATGAGATTACTTTATAAGCCCGACATCCCGGCCTATTCCGTTTTATCCTAATCTTATTTGTTAAAAATAAAGGCTTCTCTTGCTCTCATCTCTTAATATCGTCGTGATCGCGAGAATTTCGATATAATTCATCAAGCCAGCGATTAACGCTGCTCCAGAAGACGCGACGTGAACCGTAAAGGGTTAAGGTCTACGTGTGATCGGAAAACCGTAGATTCTAAGAGAAACTTTCCCCTGCCTATGTGGCACTAACAATAAATAACAAGGTCGGCAATAAATAAGAGGCACGTTAGAGAAGGTCCCGTGCGTCACAAAAGCCGGTCACGATACAGAAAACCGTCGCGCGCCGCACACATTCATAAAACTTCGACGAGCGTATCAGAAACATCGAGGAGAAAAAAAGAATTCGCCACTTTGCATATTCATTTTCAGAATCGGCCATTAAACGTTCGTGTAAATAGCTGCAATTATATTTACAACTATCGTACAAGAATTTACATACTCATTTGTAAACTCTTAATCTACACGTCTGTCACTATTCCTTTTTTTCTTCCTTTCGAAAAATGTTCCGTCTAACGTAGTCGACAAATTCCGAACGGACGAACTCTTTCCTATTATCATATTATATATATCAAACGTGACTCGTGTTCTCCGAGACGAGACACTCATCCGTGTTTTCAGTCGAGATTTAAACTAAACTTCGTGTTAATCGCATCGAATGTAAAATTGCCACGAACAACTCAACTTTCTTTCATCTTCCTCTTTTCTCGCATGACAGCTAACTGCCGGCCGCGAGTTGACGTCGAGTTTCGTCACGTCGTTAGAACTTGGCGCTCGTAAAAACTGTCATCTCAGAATTTGTGCGATGTTTTAGCGCTAGCTAGCATTTCCGCGTCTTGTACTTCGCGCACGTCAAAGAGTAACTACTTTCCGCTTACTACTTATGCTCCTCCACTCTCTCTCCCATGCTCTCTCTTTTTTCCCATCTTTCTCTGCCTCTCTCTCTCTCTCTCTCTCTCTCTCTTTCTCTCTCTGTTTCTCCGTGGTAAAACTCGCTTCTTCTATTTATATTCGAAATCGGATTCATGCACGAGTGCCCTTTATAGAAAATGTTGCCCGAATAATAGGAGCCGACCGTGTCTGCTGCAGCCTGCCTGCCGACGGCTATGTATGCGCCATGTGAATCGGAGAGTGCATGTGCATCTCTCCTCGCGACGCGTAGCATACAGTCAATCCTGGAAATGAGCTGAAATCTCCTTTCGCGACGGGATAGAGCGGCAGTGTACGTAAGAGATGGAAGAGCAGAGAGGAAAGGATATACAGTAAGGCGAAGTCTTCGGGACGTAAAAGTCGGCAACGTGACGAAATCGTGTATGCGGGAAAATTCGCGTTCTCGTAAGAAAGAAAGAAAAAAAGCCAGCGGCGATCGTGAGAGCGGGATTGGCGTTTCGCGTCGGAAAGTTTGTGCGATTTTGCCCGTCAGCTTTTCGGGGCACGCGTACGTGGAAAAACTGCGAAAACTTTCATTGTGGCGTGCAACGTCCAAACAACAAAAGTTACGCTGTAAAATTTACGATAAAATGATAAAAAAAAAAGAAACTGAAGCGAGAATTAACGTATTTTTCTCCTTTTTACTCTTTTTTTCCGAGTTTTTTTTATTCCGAGACGCGGGAAAACTTGCGCACAAACGAAGGACGTATATATATTCCTATTAATCGTATAAAAATTCGGGTCCGTGCCCCATTGTCATTCTGCCTTCGCTCGCCACGCTTACGCGCATCACTAATTTCCGCTTAGGAGAAGACGGCTCTCGGCTCTCGAAAAATGAGCGGGACGGTAAATGGGACGATCCGAGAGATGAAAAGCTTCGGATCTCCTTCATAGAATGGGTATCTCAGCGCATATCGATCGATCCTGTTTTCGTAGTCTCTTTTTTTTCTTTATCTCTCTCTCTCTCTCTCTCTCTCTCTCTCTCTCCCTCTCTCTCTCTGCCTTTCATTCTCTCTGGAGGGAAAGAAGTAATTTCGCCGGTGAGTTGTAGATATTTGCTTTCTGCATCGGTTACTGCATTTTGTTTTTATAGCGGGACTTTCGATGCGCGGCGAGAACGTTGTGCAAAAAATATCATATCGACATCGCGTATTATCTGGGATCAACGTGCAGCAGTTGTACAATGCGCGGGCCTCTGTTTTCCGATATACAACGACAGCTAAATTCATTTGCGACTGCACGAAACAATTTGGCGCGATGGGAAAAAAGATGCGGCTATTCGGTTACGCGAGAAAGGACGATGGTAGCAAAGGGGAAAACAATGTTACCTCGCCGACGCGTTAATTTTGTACGCGTATAAATACACTCGAAATCTCAATCAAATTCTTCTATTTCAAACGCTCGACATCAATGTCCGATAATGTGCTGAAGACTCGAGAATTTGAGATCCCGCTCGAAAGCCCGGCAAAGCGGAGGGGAAGGGAGATTTGAAATATTTACCGATATGGAAATTTGAAGAGGCGGGAATGTGCCGGGGGAGAGAGTTGTCCGAAGATACGAGGATACCGAGATCGGGCGATGAAAAGAGCCGCGAATAGAACAGGATATCTCAGGGTTTAAAGAAGACTCCGGAGTTACCTATTCGATAATCCGTTAGCCCGTTTATACAGCACTCAAATCTCCTGTGCTTTGACTGCCTCACATCCGCCAGTCGGATTCGTCAGTCGAGTCCGATTGCATACGGATTTCTTCGTAAAGCCGTTCTCATTTTTATCTCGCTCAATTATCCGGGCGTTAATGACGGCAAGGAACACCGAGCGCTTCTTAGCCAATTTGCACGGGAAGCTACAAACTGTAAAAGTTGCAGGACCGATAGTTTATCGTGCCTCATACAGCCGCGCGCTGCTAATCGCGTGGTTTACGGGTCCCGAAGTCATTCCGTGAAACTCGAGTGCAGTTTGCAGTTTCCGTTTCCATCGTGATGAGTGGAAACTTTGGTCAGCCCTCTCTCCTTTGCTTCTCCTCTCTCTCTCTCTCTCTCTCTCTCTCTCTCTCTCTCTCTCTCTCTCTCTCTCTCTCTCTCTCTCTCTCTCTCTCTCTCTCTCTCTCTCTCTCTTTCTCTCTCTTTCCTTCTGTCTTCCTCCCTCTCTCCCCCTCCCTCTCTCGTTCCGGTGCCACTCCCGCGGTGCGGTAATGTAACGGTTTTCGCTTTAAAACGCTGGCGTTTGTTTTAAACTTCATTGCGATTTTCAAGTCCGAACGCGCAGGACTAATTCTTCCCCGTTAACTCTCCTTCTCTCGTGCGAAAGAGCCATAATTTTCGAGAACTACTTAAAGCTGCCCCAGACAGGCGAGCCTGGAAACTTTTCGTAACGACACAACAATCGCAACAACTCCGCCACGACAATGTTGACGCTGATGTGCAATAAGGCTTATACCTCTATTTATGCGGGAGAAATTGCATTATATTTCGGCTCGCCTGAAATTGCGAGGAACTTTCTGACGTTCCTTCCGAACGCGAACCTACTTTCTCGTGCTTTATTTAGCGGAAATAATTGACATCGGTTGTGCATTAAGTAGAGGAGGAGGAGGAAGAGGAGGAGGAGAGGAACGGGGTTTTACATGTATATTTCACTAAAAATGATTCTCCAACTTGCGAAACCTCGCAAGACCAACAATCTGTTTTCCCCTCCTCCCCCGAATATATTAATCTACCTTCAACATTTGTCGTCGCGAGGGACGACGGTGACGGGACACACGCATACATCAACCGTTCCCGAAAAGAGATGCATGCGTAAATAATTTACGACTCAGCGATCGCTCGGCCTGTCAAAGATGCGGAGTAAGTAATGGCGGAAATAGTAGTACTCACCGGAGATGGGGTCTGCGCCATCGAGCTTCCTGTCGGTGACGACGACGTTCTCGTGAGCGGCTTCCTTGCTCGTCCTTGGACGGCATCCAGCGGCGGCTGGGTTCGTCTCGTTGCTGGCGACCCCGTCCTGGTTCTTGTGCTCGTTTCGTAAGTGATCGTTTCTCTCGTTCAGTTTGCAACCACCGCCGCCAACCCCGACCTTCGACGTCGGCTTGCTGCTGCCGGTACTGCTGTTGCAGCTGATGCCGCCGGGGTTCCCGTTGATGTTCGCGTTAACGTTGATGTTGCCGTTACCGTTGGTCGACGCGTGATTGTCAGCCTACAAACGGCGCACAAAGTGATCATGAAGCGCGGAATCTCACCAGTGGGTGGTCAATCCTAATTATTTTGTCGCTCATAAAGGGGAGATGTTACGCCGAAGACAAAATCAAAATAACGCGCGTGTGCTTTCGCTTCTTATCCGTCGAGCGAAATTCCGAAACGATCGGAAACTCGCGAGTGATGGGAATGGAAAATATTCCCGACGTAAAGGAAAGAGAAAAAAGAAAAAAAAAACAGAATTAAATATCACTCGATCGAGCGACGTCTCGATCGATCGAGGAGGACTTTGAGAAACGTGCTTCGACGCGCTTTTACATCGTGTTATCGAACGAGCTTGTTGGTCAAAAGGAAAATCCCGTGGAAAATCGGTTCACTTCCGTCCCGATGCTTTCGGGATAGCGAATGTAACGCAGTATCGATAAAAAAAGACGCACAAATGAACGCGAACGTTGCGTCAGATCGCGACATCGAATCCGCCGCGACGTTCGGAGGTCGTCCTTCGCGACGAGGAGCGAACTATCCTCTTTAACCCTTTACATTGGAACAGGCGAGGTTCGTGGTACCACCTGCCACCCATTCCCAGCTATAATTGAAGTTGTCTCGTCTCGTATTGTGAAGCTATACAGCCGAGCGGTGTTTTCCCTTCCCCCCTAACCACCTTTTCCTCCCTCCACCCTCGCGCTGAAGCCAAAAAGGCAAGCTTTTATTCGGTAAGTACTTTGTTGCGCGACTAACGGGGATATTCCCCGAAGACATCTGTCCTACGTCGGGACAGAGAGAGAGAGAGAGAGAGAGAGAGAGAGAGAGAGAAAAATAGCGAGCACGAGCGCGAGTACTCCTTCGCATCCTCCTTCGCACCTCCGATCCCGTATTCAGCGATCATTTGACCTCTCGTTGCCGACACGTTTTTATCGGAACTTTCCTAATATGATTCCTACGTTTAAGCGGCCCTTTAAGTCGAGGTAACGCCGACGGTGCAATTTAGCGATTCGCGGCTCACGAATGAGAATTAATTAACACGATTTGCAGTCTCGCCCCGGACGCCCACGTGTACACGTCGAAGTAAGACCGGATCGCCCGGTCGCGGTCGCGCCTTTCGCAAGAGGCAATTTCTCGAGGCGAGAGAAGCGCACGAGCGCTTATTTCGAGGTTATTACGTACCGCCGATGATCGATAACGAAATCATATTTTTAGTAGAACGATCGAAATCGCATGCTCGCGCTCGCCTCAACAACTATTTGGGCTGAGGATTGATCCCGAAGCTGGTACGCGCTCAACGATTTACTTTTCCCAAGAGAGCGAGGGGAAGAGCAAGAGAGAGAGAGAGAGAGAGAGAGAGAGAGAAGGAGAGAACGCGCGCGAACCCCCGCGGAAGTTGAACGCTAACAATAGCACGCTCGGAGTTCGCCGGGTTCCCAGCTTAGTTAGAACATATAATCAGAGCCCACATCATAACGGAGTCGTAAAGTAAACGCGAACAAAAGCGAACGCGCGTTGAACAATCTAAAACAGCCCCCGCTGCGATCTCGGCTTGACTCAGTTCACTGTTCGCTCCCCGTCACCGCGTTCACGAGCATTTAAAGGACTGGGATGATTCTCACCGAGCTGGTCATACAGGTGGACGAGGATGAACGCACCACGACGATCCTGTTCTGATTGTGGTCGCTGGAAGCGATCGTGGACACGGCGGCGTGATGATTGGCCAAACCGTGGTTGTCGTTGGGGTTGCCGCCGGGATTGCCAGAGTTGGCGTTCCCGCCGGCCAACGAGGTCTGCCTGATCACCAGCACGCTGCCCGCCGGCTCCAGCACGACCACTTGTCTCATCCTCGCCTCTGTCCGTCTTCGGTTACCTCCACGCCGTCTGCCTTCGCCGGATACGGCCGAGAGTGGCGAGCAGAAAGAGAGCGGGGCGCGTCTTCTCTCTTTTCGTCTCCTCGTCGTCGGCGACGACGACGACGACGACGACGACGTTAATCGCGTTCTCCAGCACGACCTCCGGCTCTTAAAACTCCCACCCGATCGCTGCCACCTGCTCCTCCTATGCGCATACATACACACACACACAAACATCGTGTGATATTAAAACTGTCGTTTTAGGGGATGATCCTACTCTCCTCCCACCCACCCTTCCCGCCCTCTGCTGCGACATCGCTGCTACCGTCACCGTCACCGTCACCGTCACCAACGCTGACCTCGGCGAGCGGATCCGTACGCCCGCTTCGCTCCTCGCGCGCGGAATCTTACACGTGGAGAGAGAGAGAGAGAGAGAGAGAGAGAGAGAGAGAGAGAGAGAGAGAGAGAGAGAAAGAGAGAGAGAGAGAGAGAGAGAGAGAGAGAGAGAGAGAGAGAGAGAGAGGGAGAAACGCGTACCGGCGTGGCTTCTTCCGACGGGCGGAATCGATGGGATTATTTCTGCCGACGGCTCTACGAGCAAGCCCGACTGTCGGCCTCTCTTCTCCAAGCAGCCGCTACCGCTGCCGCCACTTCCATCGCCGCCGCCGTTGCCGTGCGCGACTACATCGCACCGTGACAAAGTAACGAGGAAAGGCGCGCTAGTGATCTGAAGTTAAGGCGACGGACCGCCGGATCCAGGAGTCGCTGCGGCCGGCCGCTTTTAGACGATGGCCCGTTGCATAGCCGATACACTTTAACGCGCTTTGTTTTTCCATGCCGTACCTGCCCACATAACACAAAACGTCCAAGGGACATCCCAGGGATATCCTAAGGACGTAGGATGTCTTCAAAATGTCTTTAGGATGCCCTTTGAACGTCTGTGCTATGTGGGTGGGAACGACCTAGGTGGGTGCTCGTGTATGTGTGTGAGTGTATGTGTGAAGGATAGAAGGCAGGTCGACCTTACCGAAGAGAAAGCCGATGCTCTCTTGAGAAAAGAGAGAGAGAGAGAGAGAGAGAGAGAGAGATTTTGATTCTCTTGAACGAGTGGCTGTGAAGAAAGTAAAAAGGGAATTTTTCCAATCAGATTAAATGGTAATTTCGTCCCAGTGCCGCGGTGAAGATATTTTTTAATTTTCATGCGGGTTCTCTCCTCTCCTTTTAAGTAACGAGTGATTTAAATAAATTTAGATACCGAGTGACCAGAATATTTTTAAATTTGCGCCGACAGATAAGTCTCAATTATCTCGCGGTGAAAACACGTCTTACTACACGTCGACCCCGATCTGTGTTGGAGCTCTGAGGATCCGCGGTCGCCTCGGAGGTCCGACGCGATTTTGTCGTTTTCTCGAATGGAGAAGGTTTGTTTTCGAGATCCGCCGCGCCGGTGGCGGAGCAGCAGGATATCCCGAAAGGATCGCGGTTTGAAATTGAACGAATTTTGTTCGGAATCACTTGCGCTCGCATATCCCGCGAGACACGCAGATAGAAATCCGCAAAACTGATAGCCGATTACGAGGAAATTTCGCTGTTTGGTCAACCTTGTCTCCACAGGGTGAAGCTTTCCGAAGTGGCCGCGTTTGCAGTCGGCTCGCTCGAGAAAAGCGACACGCCGCGCTCCCGACTCGCAATCTTACGCGTTCGACTTGGCGGCGAATTTATAAAGTTGTCGCGAATAAAGTGAACAACAGAGCGGGGATAAATCATCGTTGTGGAAATTCGCGCCGACGGGATCGCCCGACGTATGAAATCGACATCGGTGAGGCGCTCGGTGTCACGCTGAGAGTCGATAAATTATTTAAGGACGCTCTCTCAGTCGCGACACGCGTTCTTGCGGTGCTATTTGTCGCAGCCGCTTCTGCCGCGGTGATGAATCGACCGCGCGGGATAAGGAACGAACGAACGGCATTCGCGAGCATTTGAAACCGCTCCAGACGTCATTATGATAGCGATCTCTTGGACGGGAGAGATGCGCGGAGACGCTCTTTCTTCCGCGTATTCCGCGATACAAGCCGCGATTTGCATCTCATTCGGCTAATCCTCGCGACGGGGGAAGAATATTTCGCGAGTCAATTCGTTATCCATTGTCTATCGCAAAGTGAAAAATAATCTCGCGCTATCCCCGCGTCGTCGTCGTCGTCGTCGTCATCGTCGTCGAGGGATCGCGCCCAGCGAATTTCCGGGGATATATTTTCGTTTTAAGTGAATATCCATGTTCCCGCGCGAGAAACAACGCAAGCAGGACAGCGGAGGGGAGGACTTTCATTTCTCCAGACTTCGTGGAACCACTTAAGTTGGCGTGCACTGTCATAAATGCATTTCTTGGCCGCCATTGTCACGTTGATCCGGCCCGGCAAAGAGAAGCTTCGCTCGCGCTCTTGCCAATTCCCGTGTGTAACAATTCTCCTCGCGTTTTGCGAAAAGGCTCTCGGTAGTATACGAGTGTGCGCGCGCGACTTTTGAAAATAAAAAGCCTCTCTACTTCGCCGTTCATATTTCATATTATAACTTGTACTTATCAAATAGATGCTGCGTCTATGTGTGTGTGTGTGTGTGTGTGTGTATTTGTCGCTGTCAACTTTCGCGCCGAGACGGAACGCGAGCATCAACAAGGTAGAGCGGTAAGTTGCTCTCGACGAGAGAGAGAGAAACATTTAGAGAGCGTCTCGCGCAGCAGGCGATTTAAATATTAACCACCGACCACTTCTCGCGGCGGAAACTCGCGGCAAGCGCGCGTCCCGTACATAAACAAAGAGAGAAAAAACCTCCTCCAGCACGTTCCTTCGCGAGCTGCCTCAAAAATACATGCGCACCCGCGAGCTGACCCTTCATGGTCTGTCGGTGCAACCCGGGCGAGCGCGTGCGAACGCGCGCGCAATGACGCGACGATGAAGCGCGGCTCGTCACATATCGAGTGATAGATACGCGCCGCGTGTATATTTTAGTAAGAATTAATGTCACTCGCTTGGCGTGCCTTCAATAGGTATTAAATATGCAGGGGGAATGTTAAAGGCGAGTAAATATCGCGGCCATTCATGTATGGAGAGAGAGAGAGAGAGAGAGAGAGAGAGAGAGAGAGAGAGAGAGAGAGAGAGAGAGAAAGAAAGAGAGAGAGAGAGAGAGAAAGTCCGGTATCGAACGAGCGAGTGAGCGAGCGAGCTGTGCCGAGCGGGCGGGCGGGCAGACGCGCGCGCGTATAGCGGATATCTGCCGGTACAACGGCACGTGCGGCAGTAATAATAGAACCGTCGCGTCGTCGGTGCATTCACACGCGAAGGAGATGCCTGGCTATATCTCGCTATAGTAGCCCGGAGGAGAGAAAGATAGAGAGAGAGAGAGAGAGAGAGGGAGCGCCAACAATTTTTGCGCTCTTTCCACTTTCGCGGATTGCCAGCCCAGGCCGGGCCAGACCGCGAGATCGATCGCGATCTTTCACTCTCGAACGTCCTCCTCTCCGCTCTCGCGAACGACCGAGGAGATCTCGATATACGCGACGGAAGCTCGGATCGCGCGTTCATTTGCATAAGGATCGCGAGCACGTCGGAGAGATTTGCGGGGCGCAACGAAAATACGCTCGAGAGAATTCCCGCGGAAAATAAGTCGATAAGTCCGCTTGATCTCGCTCGCGAACGCCGGGTGAGAGCGCCTCGCGCGCGTTCCACTTCGATTTCGAGAGAGAGAGAGAGAGAGAGAGAGAGAGAGAGAGAGAGAGAGAGATGTAAATTTAAATTTGCATTATAGTCCCGACTACACGCGTTTCGTTACCTTCCTTTCCTCGCTTTTCTTTCTCCCCGTAACTTTCCTCACGGATTCGCGCGCAATGGGGCGTTCGGGCAACGCGGAGGAGTACGTTCCCCGTGTGCGACCGCTAAGTGATATTTACGCGGCCTTTTTATATTCATTAAATGCGAAACGTGTTCCGCCTAGGCCCGACCTAGGTAATCACGCCAACGTCGAACAGGGGTTGTTCTTACGAATTCCGCGGCCCGGACGCGCGCATACCCTGCTGTCGCGCAAAGCTGCTACAAAACTGAATGCACTTGTTAATACACGTTGCGTAGATTACGTTTGCTGCGTATAAACCTGCGCGCTGCTTACGCAGTACAGTCGCGGGTGTAATCTCGAAATTTACAATCTGTAAAACGGTACTTTCTCCGGGTCAAATTGACGTTAGAGTTAATTAAGCCGAGTGCGCTGTTGAAAGAGGAAAAAATAATAACAGCAACGACGATGAAGTGGACGACTTTTAAATACCACGGGGAGGACGGTCGCGTAAAGGGAGGCAAGCGTGAGACACGTGGTTGAATAAATTCATCTAGATTACAAAGAGCAGCACGGGGATAGAAATATAATGTAGAACGTTTCCGCGGTTTTCTCTCTGACGTGAAGGGCGCGGAGAGCCCCCGGCTAAAATGTGTGTAATCTAACGCGTGTGTCGACGCTGACGCGAGCGACGGCGAGGAACGGAATGAGTAAAATCTAATAAAGGAATAAAATGTAAAGCTGCCGATAATACGAGAGAGAGAGAGTGAGAAGAATAGAAGAGACGAGGGATGATAAATGCGACACACGTGCGTGCGTTTTCCCATCAGCCGGCTTTCCGTACGCGAGCGTAGAATTCTTCGGCGCGGCGATAGCACCGCTATACCCCGCGTACATAGCGTATCGAGCCTCTCTCGTGTCGTTAACTAGGAAATCGCCAGTAGAAGGCGGTCACGTATACGCGTCTAAATCGATCGATCTCCGCGTTTGCACGCGCGCGCGAGCTTCACGGGAGTTGTCGCGATGTGACGTTTATCGTCGCGCGGCATTAAAATACGCGCTCGAGCAGCTGAAGCAACACCGGGCGGTCACGGGGAGATCGACCGGAGAAACGGCAATCGCGTCTCTCGCGAACGTCGGTCTCTGAAGCCGCAGCTCCACTTCTTCCTGCCGATCGCTGGAAAGATTCCGCGCGCTTCCACGCGTCCGGAAATCAGCATCCCGGCAATGTCGTTTCAGAGTCGGTGTTTTCCTCACACGAAAGCTTCTCGAGAAGAATTCCGCTCTCAAGACAGACCGACGATAGATTTTCTCTTGGACGGTGAATTTAACGTTGACTGTTTTTAATAAACTTCCACTTGGATGGAGTCGGATGAAGACATGTCGGCAACGTTTTAATTATCTTATCTTAAGGCGATTAGTTATATCTTTTTAGACAAGTTATCGCGCCGTGTCCTCCGTGTGAAATCGCACGGTCTTTCGCGAGGACTCGTCAGCAAGATATTTCAATGTCGTCACGAGAGACAGCCGAAAATTCGGGAACTCCGCGTGCTACAATCAATAAGCGCGCATCTCTCTCCCTCTCTCTCTCTCTCTCTCTTTCTCTTCCCCTCAGACTCAGCGTGTCAGTCGTATTCGAGAGTGAACGTCAGTTCCCAAACAGTTAGCAGAACTGCGATGCATTCTAAATTGATGTTCCCGAGCACGATGCTAGTTATGCAGGTAGTTACTATCGTTTTCGAACGGGCCGTCAGAATCCCAGGCGGCAGGAAACGCGCGGCTTGTCACTCTTGATAACAGCTGATTACGAATGAGCTCGTCCAGATAACGAAGCTCGCTCTCGTTGGAGTATACAAACGGTGTACATTGCTATATCATCACATTGATATCGCGCCGATATCATCGCGTTCGACGGCTGTTTCGAAACTCGGCTTCCCTCTTTCGTGCGCGAGCGCGAACGGCGGACCACGCGAGCAGTCGACGATCAAAAGCAATCCCGCGCGACTTCCGGAGAGCGTGGATTTATATTAATAAACGCGACCGTGTTGTTTTTCGTTCTTATCACCGCTTGAATTTTTCTCCCTCACGTTCGCCCGAAAGACTCGCACGCATGGCACGAGGAAACGGCGCTCGCTTCAATAAGTCAGGCCGGTAAAACCTGTGATTAACCTTGTATTCTGAAAATATTATTACGGCCCTGGAGGCCGTGGACGTGACAGAGGGTTTCACCCTGAGTTCTTAAGGGATGGATATACAATGCGGGCGTCGTTACAGGCGATTACGTCGCGTCTGCCGTGCGTTAACGCCTTGTGACGTTTGCGTGACGCGAGGCAAGGGCAATTCTAGACTAAGGAAATTAATCTCTGAATTGTCCCGGGCTGTCTTTCCTCCCTTTTTCCGCCCTCGAAACGGGAAATTAGCGGAGTGGCTCGGAGCCCAGGGAGAGAGGTGGACGCGATAAATGAATCGCGTCGCCACAGCGATAACAATGTGATGTACGTTTATTCGGGGTCGGCGAGAACGAGGTGGAGCCCCTTCGAGGTATGGAGATAATAATTTTTCCACGTTTCTTCCGGCGCAAAGCAAAGAGCTGTTGGAGAGAGATTGCGTCTCCTCCCAGCGTTCTCTCCGAGCCGCACGACGTATAATCTCGCGAAAGAAAATTGCCAAACATTTTCGCGGAAAATTATCTCGCGCGAGCGGACGGATAGACAGACGGATGAGCCGGAAACCGCCGGGATTGTATTAATTTTCACAGACAGATTCGTCCTTGGAGGAACGACGACGCGACGCAAGGCACGTTCTCTCGCGCCCGTATCTACACTCTCGATAATTAAACTCACCGAAATTACGCCAGCGATAAGGTATCGGGCATACACACGCGACGCCTCCGGAACTACGTACGTGATTCTGCTTTTTCCAGCGGGAATTATTTTTCGAAAAGCCCAGCGTGCTCGCTTGCGCAACACCAAACCCCATCGCGATCACGTGAAGCTCGCGTAATACCGACCACCGTGTCCTGCGCACCGACGCAATCGCCATTCGCCAGCCGCGTAGCGCGATTCCGATTCGCGCGATCCCAATCGCAACGAGAGCGCGATTAAAGCCAGCTCGCGCGAACTTTAATCAGTGAAGCGTTTGATAAGCGCATACAGAGAGAGCGGCCGCCAAACACTGTTGGCCTTTCTATCTCGCGCGTGACTTGCTCATAAAAAATAACAATGGTAACTTTATGCGCACAAAAATAACAGTAGTAACTTTATGCACACGCGTATGCGCGACACAAACTCCGTGATATAAACGCAGGAACAAGACTGGTCGAACTAAACGCGTTTCGGTTGCAGGAATTTCCGGGTCTTGTGGACCAAGTTCGGCTCGAAGGACCAAAACGATGCGACAAACGATAACCGATAAAAACATTTATAGTTCTAATAGAAATTTCATCTAATAACTAATAGAAATTTCATTCGATAACAAGGGCAGAACTCTCAAATTTGTCAATTTGCAATACCAATTCGTAAGTACCGTTTCGCACGAGCCCAGAAGAAACGAACACGCTCGCGCGGGCTCCTCGGGATCGTACGAATCTACCACGCTGCAAAACGACGAGCCTCGCGTTCAACGATGCGTCGAACTTCCCGCCAAAAGCCCCCGGCAACGAGGACCGTATCCATCGGTCGCGTTATCCGCGCGACCGCTTCGAATCCGCTCGTGGCAACGACGACGGCAACGACTACGACAACGAGGCGGTGATGCGGACGCACGTGCGGCCGCACACGCGAACAAAACGCGAGATTCTTCCCTTAGATCAGCGGCGAGCCGCGGGTTTACGGTATGCGCTAAAAATAGCGGCACCCATAAAACTGTTCCGCGCTCAGCGAGGGATACCACGCGGGCGAACGAAAGCACGACGACGACGAAAACACGTCGTCGTTCCTGCTCCACGCGCGCGTCTACCTAGTCTCTATTTTTATTTCTCTATTCTGCCGTATTTATCGCGAAATCGCTCCCGAGACGCGCAGTAAGTATTCTCGATCGCTCGAAACGAGACGTCGCTCGACGGCCACCAGCAGCGTCGGCGAGGCGCGGCGCGGCGCGGCGCGGAGCGGAACGGAACAGTGCGGACGAGCGGACGAGCGGACGAGCGGACTCGCGGCGCCGCGACGCCGAGCGTCGGTGCGTCGGCCACGGGGAGAGGATGCGGGGATACTCACGGAATACTCCTTGTTCCGGGCGTGAACGGAAGGCCCGTCGTCGTGGCTGCTCATTTCGGCAGACCGCGCTTCCCGGTGCGCGCGCGACGTCGCCCGCGGCCCCGGCCAAAGCGCCCGACGAGAACGGCGCGTCTCGTTCGCGGCACGACGTTCGCGTTCACCAGCAGCAGCAGCAGCAACAGCAGCAGCGACGACGACGACGGCGGCAGTAGCACCTTGATCCGTGCGACGACACCGCGATGTTCATGATCGACGAGAACAGCGACGGCGACGATAGTGGCGGCGGCGGCGGCGGCGACGGCGGCGGCGGCGGCGGCGGCGGCGGCGGCGGCGGCGACGGCAGCGGTGGCGGGGGCGGCGATCTCGTCCAACAACGACGTTCCTCGCGTCGCTACCTCGAGGAATCAGCCGAACGCCGCGAGCGATCACCTCGCGTCGCGATGCGATAATGCGTGGCTCTCACGCAGGAAATCGCGCGATCACGCGTGCCCGCGGCCGCGGTCGATCCTCGGAATCCATGACAGGTATGCGTACGTATATACGTACGTTGTATGTACGTACGTGCAGCACGGCCGCCGGAGGAGCGAGCGCGAGAGCGCGAGCCGAGCCGTGGATCGCATGCGCCACGGTAAAAGTCATCGCGCCGTATGCCGCCTCGAGACCGCCCCGGCGCGACGCCGCGCGTACACGAGAAAACTCGACTCGCTGGAAATTCAAAGAGTTCCCGCGTCGGCGACGTCGCGTCGCGAGCCCGTCCGCGATAAGAAAACGGTCGACTTGTGGAATGGGACGTTACTTACGAGATAATGCACGACGCCGCGGTATTCCTGACGACAGTCGACGCACAATGATATAATCGTGCATGTAATCACGCGTTCACGGTAATGAGACCTCGCGGAAGTGTTGGCAGCCGACAATGGTGGATTATGGAGGTTATCGTCATGAGATATCGCATCGTCACGTTCGATCGGTGTCGCGTGGTCTTGCCGGTGAATCTCGCATCCTGAACGCTGCAGAAGAGCAATCGAGGGGCGTACTTGGAGAAGACGAAGCCTTTTGTCGCTCGATCTGTTAATTATTTCGCCTATTGTCCCGATATATCATCCGTGAAGTTCACTCACCCACCTTTCAGACGCCTCGAAATGCCGCGGGATGAAACTTGTGACATGCCGTGTATCGCTGATATCGAATCGCACGCGCGTCGATATCTCGTTCGACTTTCGATACGAACGTTCTGCGCGCACTAGCTGCGCAGTAGCGTCGCTCCTCTTCGCTTCTGCATCATTTAGCGGGCGCTACCTCGTCTTCCCGCGCACGGGGTAGTTCTCGTCACGGAACGTTCTCCAGCGGGGAGTGGAGTAGGAAACCACGCCAGACAGTAATCTCCAGAGCTCGAAATGTACACGCGATACGAATAGCATTCTTGGAAATACTCTTGCAAATTAACGCATTTAATGACGCACTGTACCACCGCGTTTCATTTATGTATAAAATATAATTGCATTCCTCTCTATCACTCTCCTAATTACTCATTACTTGCATTTAACTATGTGCTGGTTACTTTACGTGCATTATGTGTTCTGATAGCAAGAGTGTAGTATTCTTAGTAGTATAGTTTAAATATATTATATAATATAGTAGAAGTATAATTTCAGAGAAAACAGTCAAAGACTTGTATGTACGTTCAGAGGCAGTAATTTATTTTATACATATACTTCAATACACACATGTGAACGCTTTAACATAGAGAGACAAAATTAATTTGATGCTCGTACAATCGATCAATGCTTTCTACTCTTACTCTTATACACGATACAGTGATATTATCATGTGTTCTACATTTCATTGAGCGCATCGTAAGCCTCACATAAACGATCCACAGTGTGTAAATTTGTTCATTCAACTTTCGCTCAAACTCCGGTACCAAATACGTTACAATGTGTATGTGCATCCTACGTATATATAAGTGTATATGTATACATAATAAATCACGTAAGAAATTAGTATAATTAAATTCGTGTATATATATATATATATATATCAATATTATAATACAGAAATTCATTATCATGATACAATAAAAAAGAAAACATGCGTTATGTATAATAACGTATAAATCTACACAATTATATTTGTCTCGCAAACGTACATTATAACATTATAGTGATTTTACTAATTCTAAAGGCAAATCAAGATTTCATAATTGTCCGTCTCGGAATTACGTTAACGCAATTGTTATTCGCGATATGTTATTCCGTGTAATGTAAACTCCACTGATCGCATCGGCCCTTCGTGCGGAGAAAAGGGAATAAAAATCGATAAGAATCTTACTCGGAATAGTTTCAACAAGACAAGAAAGAAACAAAAAGTAAACACATGATCAACAGACTGATCTTCGTTAACCCCTTGTCCTACCCGCTAACTCCCGATCGCTCGGACCACAATAAACAAGAAGGTCGGTCACGCGTCGAGCCATTTAGCTGTTTAGCCGTGTGCTCGAACTTGCGAAAATGTATGCGTCTTATGACATGTATATTTCGGCGCAACGAAAGGAATTATCATCGATATTAGATTTTCTTTTTACTGACATGATAGGTATAAAGGTTGTTTAATTCTTTTAGGGAATTATAACCTAAACGTGTGAACGTAACGAAGAATTACACGTAACTAAAGTAAGAAAATATCGAGACCAACTGAACCACAAGTCTGACTCGTGTTGTTTATGTTTGTCCCGAATAAAGTATCACGAGCCAGGCTCGTGTTGTTTACGTTTGGTCCGAACGAAGTACCACGAGTCAGGCTCGTGCTCATTGTTTTTGGCCCAAATATCTTACCATAAGTCTCACTCGTTGTTGTAGGACAAGGGGTTAACATCAAGATCTCCTCGTACAAAGCAGAGTTTGCACGAAGCTATACCACGAGACTGAATCGCAAGACTGAACACGAAAGAAGTGGACGACATGAAAAATTGGCACGAAAGAAATAATCACTTTGGTTTATTGCCCGATTACCACGTTGTTCGCTCGATATTCCCGCCATGATCAAGTTAGAACCTCTCCACTTAGCGAGTTCCTCTCGGCGTCTCACGCTGGTATCGGTATGTATATGTGTGTATGTATGTATGTTAACAAGGACAATTTAAAAAAAATTCGCTCTCACTAACGCAATGTATAACGCACGGGAAGTCAAAATTTCTGCTGCCATTCTACCATGTCCCATGCCGACCATCATGGATATTTGCTTCTCAAATGACACACGTTGTTCGCAAATTGTGCTACTTAGTGCACCAGTCCAGGGATCGAACCATCCGAATATTTCAGATCGTCGCTTCGTATATGCAATGCGCTGCAATGAAATAATATCGACCAATATTCGATATTCGATTATATTCATAATATTTCGCGTGTTATTTCCTTTTTTTTCGTTTGTTTTTTTTCTCTCTTTAGCATATTGAGATTACTTCTTTACAATTTATGCGTTCGGCAAGCTGGTCCGTTAACACCGTGTCTCGTACAGGCCGCTGCGTCCAATATAACGGACCCATTTAATAACGTCGTGATCGGAGTAATTCAACTTGGACTCAAATACTTTCAAGTAGCGCACTTTGAAGCCGGATGGTGCAAATGGCACCTCGAAGTTCATCGATATCGGCGGTCTCGTCCATTTCTTCTTTGTGTCTGTCTCTAGCAGGTCGATCTCGGCGGATAGTTGCGTTTCTTTCATGCCAGCCATACGCTTGATCTTCCACACGATCGCATTCTCTGAAGCCTTGTACTTTGCCTTGCCTTTCAGACATATCAACTGCACACCGGCGGTGTTCAACGGCGTTGGCACGCGCACTTCGATCTTCTGGCCGAGCAACGATGTCTTAAAATTCGACTTCAGCACTGCTTTTACTTCCATCTTCGTCCGGCCTACCTCACGCACAAGCGGTATTACGCGGAAAGGCAACGATATATCTTTCGTGGTGCGATATCTGCAACAGAAAGACGACAAATTCAACATAGTACATAATAAGTACATGAATGTTTTAACCAGATACTCGGAAGTTTTCCCGTCATATCTCCGCTCACCTCATTAATTCAAATTCACCATCCGGCGGTATAAAACTAATGGAATGTTCAGTTTCGAATTTGCTAAGCTTAACGCATTGATGAAATTGGCAATCATCGATCACAACGACCGGCTTGCCGGACCTGGCGCCAGTGGGGTCATCACCACCGCCTCCCAATCCGCCCCCTCCTTTCATGCCTTTTGCCTCCATGACGATCTTGTCGTTAATGCCAAATTTGCACTCCGGCATTCCTGACAAGTAAGATTTCATCACGACCTGTAAGAGAGAGATTGTCAATTGGAAATTTGGAAAGATCTAAGGGGAGATTTTCTCATAATCGACTTACTTTTCCGGCCACGTGCGCACTGAGAACCTGACCTTGAGGGCTCATTAGGAGATTCACGTATTCGAGTACATCTAGGAAGAGTTCATTGCGCCTGTACTTAATACCTTCTCGTCGCCATCCAATTTGGCCAGTGACTTGCGATGTTATTTGAGCCTGTTCTTCCTTGGTGGCAGACTTGACGCCTTGTTGAGTGATGAATGTTTTTAGTACTCCCGTATCACAATTCTGTGGATATCCAAAATCAAGGATTTCTGCAAGGAAACAATAAACATGGAAACAATAAGATTTTTTATCAGATTTTTGCTGTAACAAACTTTAATGCATTTGTTAACCATTTTAATATATATGAATAAATAATTGGAAATAAATAAGCTCTATTATTTGAAAATGTTGAAAATCAGATATGATATGAAAGAATTAAATATCAATCAAACTTTATACTGACCATCCAGCAGTTCATAAATGAGCACAAAATTGTTCTTGATGTTCTCCTCTGAAATCTTGCCAAAATATGACTGCATAACATCTATGATTTTCAATAGTAACTCAAACACCATGGCAGCATTGACATTTTGCTTGGTGACAGCAGCCAGCCAGATATTAGCACGCTTTATGTGGAAAAACGATGTTCTAGCGATATTGGTTACAGGTGATCGTACTTGCTGCCGTGCATGGATGACGTTAACACGGAATGCATCTACTGCATTCCGACCAATATCATCCCGATACACTCGCGAGATCAGTACCTCACCCTTATGGTTATAAACAAATAAACCCCCTATCATCTTGACAGAGGGTAGTACAAGCAACTTAAGTTGAGATCAACCTGCAAAAAAACATCAATATTTATATCAATATTACAAGTAATAAAATAAAATAAAAATAAGCAAAATTGAGGCATTCTTTAAATTTGAAATATCACAAGATTCTATTATGACAAACGGCAGCACAAAAAATCTAGTTTTGCGACCGTTCTATTCCATCCTTTGAGAACTCCAGAATATAATCAGAGGCAATAAATTTCTAGATATCACTTGCTCAAGAAGTTTATGATTAATGAAGTTGTTTCAGAAATAAAATCGACGGTATGCCCTGAGCATACATCAAAATCCTAGTAATCTCAGTACTTCATTATTGATAAACAATCCATGGTGTGCAATAAAAGAATAGGAGCAAGAGCACGTAATTACGCGATTTTCAGCTGAGTGAAAAGCTTTCAATGAGAGGACCATGCGAGAGATATGTGCTTGATGAGAACGCGATATCGACTATTTGTCAGCTAATATTCTGGTATCACGCGAGGTATTATAAATACGCCCGGAGCGGCAGATAATATTCTGATTGATTTCTCAAGTGACATTTGGGACCGCGCGTTCGTCCGATATGTCTTACGAACGGTTAGTATTATCGATCGAACCCTGGCCCTGCGTAACCCTCTTTGCTGTCGTCGTCAGCACCGCCGAAAAACGCGCGAGCCAGCCACCGAACGAGGTCATGCTCCAATGTAAAAAACAGGGACTTGATCGATCGATCAGTCGACCTTTATCAGGATTCACTTACGCATGACTCTTCGAGACGATCGCCAAAATCCTTAGTCCTCACTGTGATTTTACGTACCTTCTCTTGTACCACCCTCTCTATATTAGGTACGACCGCGAGCAGACGAGTGATGAGAGCAACACCCACTTTTCGATAGTGCTAACGGGAAACGCCGTTGATAACAGAGATTCGATAGATGGCAGGGAAATGTACGAATTCGCAACGCTGTCAGCGGAAGATGTAAAATACGCCATCTAGGTTCACTTAGATTTAGATACCGACGTGACGATACCAAAGACCGAATGATAGATTTTCGTATTGGGAAAGGGGTCCTGAAGATTGAGAATCGATAGAAGCTTTTTTCTCACACAAATTCCCAAAGCAATATTCTGATGAATCTGTTAATACAAGTTCACATTATAAAATTTATTTTCTAGAATCAATAAAGCTGCTAAAAAATTAGAAACATATCTTAGTTTATTTACATAACAAGAAAAATATATGATCTAAATTATGTTAACTGAATTATATCCTTATCATTACGCAAAACTATGAATTAATGGTTCACAAGAGAATTTACAAAAACTTTTCCTGAAAACACACAAAATAAGCAAAGACATTTACTATAGTGAGCATTGCATTTGGAGTGCGCCAAAAATTGTTGAGCTAGATAATAACTATCAATCGTAAATCATCGATAATTCCCCCATTAATAATTCTACCTTTACTATAAATAAAATTTATAGTTGTTCAGATTAATATCTGTTGATATATTTTTTTTAGAATATTTATTGATCTACCAAAGGGCCATGCGATGTATTAGATGATGCTAATGATTCAGGCTCTGTTAAAGATATCATACGTCCACATGAGTCTGCAGATCTAAAATGAAAAATTAAATTATATAATTTAATATATTTGTGGCCATTCACATAGTATATGAAGCATTATATAGATAAGGCCATGAAAGAAATTATCTAATTTTAACTTACACATCTTTTAAAAGGTGCAAAACCTGTTTGTGTTCTATTCCTTCCAGCCACAAGTTAAGTAATTCCTCTCGTTTACATCTCAACAATTGTTTACAGGCATTCAGATTCTCTTTAACTGCATGAATCTTCTCTCGTGATGATGTTACCTTTTCAGACAATGCACTGAATATCTAAAATAAAATATAATGAAGCATAACTTTATTACATATTGTTATAAAGATGATAAAGATTTGTTGCTTCATTGGTAATTTTGCTGGTTCCAGTATTTGTTTCTTAATAAATACAATACAAATGTATAAATTTACTTGCATAACTTCTGTAAGATCTTGATCATGTAGGGAGACTAATTCATCCAGTCGTTGGTCACTTCGTTTATATTCTTTCTCTAGTTTAGCTTTTTCAATTTCACGTTGTTCATTTGTTTCACTTGCTGATAGAGCACGAATTACAGATATTAACAGACCACTCTATAAGATATATTTATTACGCACATTAACATTATTCTGTTTATAACAAAATTCAAGATTAAGAATATTCTAACTAAAAAGTTACTCACTGTTTCTTTGGTTGGTTTGATACCACGTGGTGGTTTGATAGGAGGTATTGTACTCATCTTGAAATTATTTGCAGCTTCAAAATATGGTAATTTAATGATACCTTACTTTTATATGCTGTAATAGATTTATTATTTCAGATATTGAGTTGGTATTAGTTAAATGTCAAACGCCATTTATGAATTTATAATTCTTTTATTAATCTTTGATCCTCCTATTAATCGATATTATATGTATATAATACTATAAAAAGAATATAGTAATCTACTAAATATATAAAGTTCTTCAATAAAAATGAGAAAAAGGATACACATTACACCTACGTACGTCAAAACTTAACCATCACATATTTTATATCAGGTTATATCAGGTTAATTTACATGTATTTATGATGTACTCGTTTTCTAACATTAAATTTTTTCCATCAAAAAATGAAATAGATATATGTTCATATTTCTAGGAAAGAAAAAGAAGGAAATGAGTAACATCTAAAAAGCGTAAATTTATCCTCTTTAGTTTTATTGCTATGACCAGAGAAAAGAAGGAGAGAAGTCATGGGCCGCTTTTAGCCGAGCCCACTCGGCTAAAAGCGGCCCATGAGGCGCCCTCTGCACAATCGTGCACATGAACTACGATGCCAATGTCCACGACTCTTTTCTGATTTCCTCCGCCGTGGGGGAAATCAAAAAAGAATCGTGGACATTGGCCGCGTTCAGTAGAACAAAGTGATCAGAGAGCGCTTAGTGATTATTGTCTGCGATTGGAGCATTCTTTTAGATTCTTCATAGACCCAGAAGTATTTACCAATCAGGAGCGAGATTCAGTGGAAAATCTAGTAATGTTGTCCAACTGTTGAGTCTACTGAATGCAGCCATTGGCTGCGTTCAGAAAACACAACGGTTACACAACGGTTGAGTAATTCGTCAATGTTATTGGTCTGAATGTAAGGATCTAACAGTAAGGACCAATAGTTACTGAGCGTTCAGTGAGCATTTTGTTTTCTGAACGCAACTATTGGTGAACGCTAACTACTATCGTAGTTGATGTGCACGGTTGTACAGAGGGCGCCTCACACTGGGCTTCGTGCTAGATTGCTTGCTGGATGAAAATTCTGCGTTCTGATTGATACATTTTCGAAGATGGATGGAAACACACCAATCAGGACGCATTATTTTCATCCAGCAAACAATTCAGCATGAAAACAAGCACCATGTACCGCTGGCTTTATACAGATAGACTGCGCGTCCCATGAGAGGACTTGAAGACAACATTAAAGTGAGGGGAGCGATAGCTGAATGAGTGTATGGGCCAGAGCACAAACTTCTGCATAACGCATAATACACAACGCATAAGAGAATAAACTAATCAGAGTTCTTCATTTCCCTCCTCAGAACAAAAATTCGTTCGGTTCGTAAGTAAGAACGTCGCATAGGGCCACCGGCTGGAAAGGTGTTCCTGAAACAAAAAATAAGTTTGTAATTTTTCTTTTCTTTTTTTTTATTTATTTTATTTATTTATTCATCTATCTATTTATTTATTTATCTATTTATTTATGTGTTTATTTATTTGTCCGTCCTCTGGAATGTGGACTGCCGCGGGGGCGGCGGTGGATGTGCTCCACTGTCGCGCCCGCGGCTGATATATTTTTAAGACGACGGACGACATTCATATATATATTTATTTTATTTTAATTATTTATTTATTTTTGTGTCGTACTGTCTGGAGTGTGGACTGCCGCGGTGGGGGGGGGGGGGACGGATGCCCTCCGTCCCGTCCCAGCGGCTGAAATATTTTATGACGTGGACGCAAATTAGGCTCAAAAGTAAAGTAGAGAAAACGAGCTTATTTATTGTTTTATTCTTTTTTTTTAATTTTAATTTATGTAAATGGAAGGTGTGCCCCTTACACATACTCTTACCATGGTGGATGCATTATCAGGTCCCTCTTCCAGCTCGATGAGCCGTCGGTGTGAGTGTCGCGTGCGAAGCCTAGGGCTTATCCGAGTATGCATGTCGCGATATTTAATAGATTAGTTGGTAGGCTAGAGTCTGTCGTATTAGCGCGAATGACCCGAAGGTCACCAAGTAGGTGCGCTGGAAAATAGAAAATACATTAATTACAAGAAAAATAAAAAAGTGTATTGTTGATGAAGCTGATTGCCCAGGCCTATTAACCTGGGCAATGTTTCTATTAGGAATATACATATATATATATAAGAATATGCGTATTGGTGCTCACGGTCGGGGGGGGCAAATTGTCCCCCGACCATAAAGTATTTAAATAATGTGTTAGGCCTATGCCTGAAATAATTTTGTATTTACTCCGGGGGGCATGCCCCTCGAGGAACATTTATTGTCGATATCCAGTATTCCGTCGCGTACTTTAAGGCCTACCTTTGGGTACTTCAAAATTCCGAGTACTCCGTTGTCCAGGGCTCGCGCGCGTTGCCTCCCCTGTCGACCGCATGTATAGCAAGAAAATTTGATCTTCGTTCAGGGAAGGCGATTGCCTCGTGCGATTCCGTGTCTGAAATTAATTACGTTGATTATTGTGAGAGAAAGTAAAATAAGTGCCTCTGGGATATTATACTTACCTACTTACCTTTTGCGCTGATATCCTGGAGGCGAGGAGTGGCGATTTTATTGGCTCTGTCGATGGATGTCTGTGGACGGCTGTAAAGGCAGGAAAAAATTGATAAAACTTTGTTAAATTTGCGTCGAAATCCGACCGGCGTGCAGTGGAGCTGTAAGAGATATTTAGAGACAGAATCGCGAAATTTATAAGTCCAGTGACGGGCGGCGTGTTGCTTTTGCACATTGTCACATTAATAGCCCGGCTCTGGCACTAAAAAGACAATTATTATTTATCTCACGTTGTTGGCGAGGCCTGTGGCGGGCATACACTCATATTAAAAAACATCCTTTATTAATAAAAAGTCCCGCCACAGGCGTTACAAAGTACAAAGAGAAGCGTCTGCGCGCCGAGCATAAGTCCCGTGACAGGTGCAACGCTTATATCTCGATTAGTAAGCACAATTGTATCTCTAACCGTTTAAGAGATATCGAAGGTTAAAGTTTTCCAGCCCTTCTCCGTTGATATCTCCGCTTCTACTGGGAGTAGAGAGTTGTCCATGTAGTCGAATATGTAGGGTTTTGAGAGGACTTTAATTTGGTGCCAGAACCAGGCCTGTATCTCTAACCGTTCAGGAGATATCGAAGGTTAAAGTTTTACAACATTTCTCCGTTGATATCTCCGCTTCTACAGGGAGTAGAGAGTCGTCCATGTAGTCGAAAATGTAGGGTTTTGAGAGGACTTTAATTTGGTGCCAGAACCAGGCCAGTATCTCTAACCGTTTAAGAGATATCGAAGGTTAAAGTTTTGCAGCCTTTCTCCGTCGATATCTCCGCTTCTACTGGGAGTAGAGAGTCGTCTATGTAGTCGAAAATGTAGGGTTTTGAGAGGACTTTAATTTGGTGCCAGAACCAGGGCTGTATCTTTAACCGTTTAGGAGATATCGAAGGTTAAAGTTTTCCAACATTTCTCCGTTGATATCTCCGCTTCTACTGGGAGTAGAGAGTCGCCATTTACGGCAAAATGTAGGGTTTTGAAAGGACTTTAATTTGGTACCAGAGCCAAGCCAGTATCTCTAACCGTTTAGGAGATGTCGAAGGTTAAAGTTTTCCAGCCTTTCTCCGTCGATATCCAGCCTTCCTCCGTCGATATCTCCGCTTCTACTGGGAGTAGAGAGTCGCCACTTACGGCAAAATGTAGGGTTTTCAGAGGACTTTAATTTGGTGCCAGAACCAGGACTGTATCTCTAACCGTTTAGGAGATATCGAAGGTTAAAGTTTTCCAACCTTTCTCTGTCGATATCCAGTCTTCATCCGTCGATATCTCCGCTTCTGGGAGTAGAGAGTCGTCCATGTAGTCCAAAATGTAGGGTTTTGAAAGGGCTTTAATTTGGTACCTGTCCGAAGCCTGTATCTCTAACCGTTTAGGAGATATCGAAGGTTAAAGTTTTCCAACCTTTCTCCGTCGATATCTCAGCTTCTACTGGGAGTAGAGAGTCGTCCATGTAGTGCAAAATGTAGGGTTTTGAAAGGCCTTTAATTTGGTACCTGTCCGAAGCCTGTATCTCTAACCGTTTAGGAGATATCGAAGGTTAAAGTTTTGCAACCTTTCTCCATCGATATCCAGTCTTCATCCGTCGATATCTCCGCTTCTACTGGGAGTAGGGAGTCGTCCATGTAGTCCAAAATGTAGAGTTTTGAAAGGGCTTTAATTTGGTACCTGTCCGAAGCCTGTATCTCTAACCGTTTAGGAGAAATCGAAGGTTAAAGTTTTCCAACCTTTCTCCGTCGATATCTCCGCTTCTACTGGGAGTAGAGAGTCGCCCATGTAGTGCAAAATGTAGGGTTTTGAAAGGGCTTTAATTTGGTACCTGTCCGAAGCCTGTATCTCTAACCGTTTAGGAGATATCGAAGGTTAAAGTTTTCCAACCTTTCTCCGTCGATATCTCCGCTTCTACTGGGAGTAGAGAGTCGCCCATGTAGTGCAAAATGTAGGGTTTTGAAAGGGCTTTAATTTGGTACCTGTCCGAAGCCTGTATCTCTAACCGTTTAGGAGATATCGAAGGTTAAAGTTTTCCCACCTTTCTCCGTCGATATCTCCGCTTCTACTGGGAGTAGAGAGTCGTTCATGTAGTGCAAAATGTAGGGTTTTGAAGGGCTTTAATTTGGTACCTGTCCGAAGCCTGTATCTCTAACCGTTTAGGAGATATCGAAGGTTAAAGTTTTCCAACCTTTCTCCGTCGATATCCAGTCTTCATCCGTCGATATCTCCGCTTCTACTGGGAGTAGAGAGTCGTCCATGTAGTCCAAAATGTAGGGTTTTGAAAGGGCTTTAATTTGGTACCTGTCCGAAGCCTGTATCTCTAACCGTTTAGGAGATATCGAAGGTTAAAGTTTTCCAACCTTTCTCCGTCGATATCCAGTCTTCATCCGTCGATATCTCCGCTTCTACTGGGAGTAGAGAGTCGTCCATGTAGTCAAAATGTAGGGTTTTGAAAGGGCTTTAATTTGGTACCTGTCCGAAGCCTGTATCTCTAACCGTTTAGGAGATATCGAAGGTTAAAGTTTTCTAACCTTTCTCCGTCGATATCCAGCCTTCATCCGTCGATATCTCCGCTTCTATTGGGAGTAGAGGGTCGTCATTGTAGTCCAAAATGTAGGGTTTTGAAAGGGCTTTAATTTGGTACCTGTCCGAAGCCTGTATCTCTAACCGTTTAGGAGATATCGAAGGTTAAAGTTTTCTAACCTTTCTCCGTCGATATCCAGCCTTCATCCGTCGATATCTCCGCTTCTATTGGGAGTAGAGGGTCGTCATTGTAGTCCAAAATGTAGGGTTTTGAAAGGGCTTTAATTTGGTACCTGTCCGAAGCCTGTATCTCTAACCGT